ATTTCCAACTGAAAAGTTATGCTCCGGTGTTTTAGTCTCATATTGAAACCTATTCTTAGCATAGGAAATGATCAAATTGAAGAATGATATCTGAATTAAAATTGTAGCCAGATGAGTTAACTTTCCAACGCATTTTGTATTTCCTCACTAGGATATCGGAATACAATGTTATGATAAAAATACTGAAAGAAGGTGCAGCTGCTTGTTTAAAACAAGAAATTCCGTCACATAGTCCGTTATATTGAGACCTATTTTTGGCATATAAATTAGTCGAATTGGAGAATGATGTCTGAACCGAAGCTGTAACCAAATGAGTTATATTTCCAACGCATTTTGAATTACCTCAATCGGATATCGGAATACAAAATTATGATAAAAACACTGAAGGAAGGTGCAGCTGTCTGTTTAAAACAAGAAATTCTATTACATAGTCCATTATATTGAGACATATTTTTTGCATAGAAATTGATCGAATTGGAGAATGATGTTTGAATCAAAATTGTAGCCAGATGAGTTAGCTTTCTAATTCATTTTGAATCGCCTCAATCGGACATCAAAATACAAAGTTATAATAAAAATATTGAAAGAAGGTGCAGCTGCCTGTTTAAAACAAGAAATTTTGTTATATAGTCCGTTATATTGAGACCTCTTTTTGGCATAGAAAGTGATCTAATTGGAGAATGATATCTAAATGAAAGTTATAGCCAGATGAGTTAGATTTCCAATGCATTTTGAATCGCCTCCATCGGATATCGAAAGACAAAGTTATGATAAAAACACTGAAAGAAGGTGCAGATGTCTGTTTAAAACAAAAAATTCCGTTACATAGTCCGTTATATTGAGACGTATTTTTGGCATAGAAAGTGATCGAATTGGAAAATGATGTCTGAATTAAAGTTGTAGCCAGATGGGTTAGATTTCCAATACATTTTGAATTGCCTCAATCGGATATCGGAATACAAAGTTATGATAAAAACACTGAAGGAAGGTACAGCTGCCTGTTTAAAACAGGAAATTCTGTTACATAGTCCATTATATTGAGACATATATTTGGCATAGAAAGTGATCTAATTGGAGAATAATGTTTGAATCAAAGTTATAGCCAGATGAGTTAGCTTTCTAACGATTTTTGAATCGCCTCAATCGGATATTGAAATACAAAGTTATGATAAAAACACTGAAAGAAGGTGCAACTACCTGTTTAAAACAAAAAATTCATTTACATAGTCCGTTATATTGAGACATATTTTTGGCATAGAAAGTGATCGAATTGGAGAATGATGTCTGAACCAAATTTGTAGCCAGATGGGTTAGCTTTCCAACACATTTTGCATCGCCTCAATCGAACATTGGAAT